GTGGACTCACTTGCGACTACACATCTGAGTGCCTGGGTTTCTTGCGCAGGAACTTTGACATTGAGGATCCAGATGTATCCTGCACCCCCAGAGTGCTGGAAGAGTTCACCAAGCGCCAGCGGTTCTTATTTGTGGATGGATACATCCTCTCCGACAGCTCGCAGGTTCCCAGTTCCGTGGACGGCTCCGAGGCTCCAGGCTCCCAGGCTCCCAGGAGGTGTGCAACCCAGTTAGTTTACGAGGAGATCCAGACACCAGAGCCGCAACTACCCTGCAAGTTTGTCGTCGTCATAGCGGTTGTGTTCCAGTAGGCTTCGCTGGTATGCCCGCCGTGGCAAACCTAGGATCTTCTATGGCAACAGAGTCCACTACCTGTGCACGAAGGCCGGCATTTCTGATGTAAGGCAGATCATGGGAACTATGGCGCACGTGGTCGAGGCGATGCTGGAGCGTTTGCGAGTAGATCTGACGGAGGATGAGATCGCCGTGGCTCTGCAGGTATTCAACCTTCGGCTGTGGCAGGAGACGAACCGACAACAGGAGCTAGTGGACTCTACACGCAAGCTCTGTGATATGCTCAAGCTTTCGCACGGTACAGCCGTGCTGTTTGGACGATTTGCTCGCAAATTGCATCCTCTTCTAGAAGCAGCTAAGTCAAAGGACACAGGCTTCGGGAACAAACATGCGTGGTCTTGGTTGCTTCGGCCAGCGTGGCGTGCACGGCATGCACACAAACTTCCATGGACAGAGGATTGTCATGCCCTCATTGCTTTCTTCTTGTCCTTGAAGATCAACACGACCACGCTGGAAAGGGATTTGGGACACTTGCTCACACAGCTGGAGGCGCATTCCGGACCCCTCACTCCAAATGGCTCAACCATTGCCTCCATCCTCGAGGTGGCAGTTGAAGGTCCCCAGCGAGAGGAAGAATTTTTCCGGAAGCCGGAGAGCGAAGGTGCCGTGCTGACCCCAACTGACTTCGGGGTTCTTTGTGGTGAACTGTGGATTCGTCACTTTGGGCGTCGGTTCCGCATGACCTACAACAAAGAACGAAAGCAGGGGCCCAGCAAGCCACGCCAGGCACGTTCTGGAACTCTGGCTGCAATTGTCAGAGGCCGTGAAGCAGCCGCCGCCGAGGCAGCGAAGAGAGCAGAGGCAGCTGCTTCGAAAGGCAGGTCGTGGAAGCCGGCCTCTTTCGTGCCGGGCTTGAGCCTGCCTTTGCCGGCAGCGTCTGCCTCTGCCCAGAACAGCGTTGCTGGCACACGTTGGGCTTTCGCCCGCCCCACACCAGATGCCCTCAAGCATTTGGAGAATTTCCGTGCACGCACACAGCAGAAATATGACGGTGACTCAGCAGCACAACGGTTGCTTTCCGTGCTAAGTCATTTGAAGTGTCATACACATTGTCATTGTCATCCAGCCAAGGTCACCAAGAGGAAGCGCGGAGACGATCCTCTGGCAAGATTGCTTACACAACAACGGCGGCACGGCTTGGCGGTTTGCGCATGGTGCAGCACGGCCACGAGAAGGATCGGTCATCCGTCTTGCAAAGCATCCTCCGCAAACGAGCTCTGAAGCTATGTCCGGTCTATCGTCGCTACACGGACAGCAAGTCGCTGCAAGGCAACAAGCATTTCCAGATTCTTGGACCGTACGAGTATGAATCCGCCGATATCCTGGTCCTCGAACAACTGTCCGATGTGGAGACGGTCCGCAGCGACCGACTGGTCCCAAGCTTTTAATTAAAATGTTTAAAGTCGGATGATGCCAGGCTTAGATCGTCACTGCTGGTACACGTTGACGTGTTTCATCCCAGGTTCCTGCCTTGATCATTGCGTACGGCTGTGGCAAAGTGCTTGCCTCCAGGGAGGCGATTCTGGCATACTTGGACAATCCGACAATTGATGCTGAGAAGTCGTTCTTGTCCTTCAACACAGCTGCAACTTCGAGGCTGGTCGGCCTTGAGATCGCCAAGAGCTGTCAACTGTTGCTCGGTGGCACAGACACTGAGGTTCAAGGGTTTCGGGTTGAAGGGTTTATTGTCTAGGGTTGGGTTTGGGTTCATTTAAGTTCAATCAGTCAGGACCCGTGCCATCGTCGAGGCCCTGCGATTCTGTGAGAAGTTGCCCCAGTCGAAGTGGCGTGTTGCTATCGGCACACCACTGCCCACTCAATTTGCTACCAAGAGGCGCACCACCTACAAGATCAATGGAGAGGCCGATATCTGGAATTTCCTCCGCACCGTCCGCGGGTTGTCCCAGAAGCGGACATTGTCCGGTGCTGGTGTACAGATGAGGCATTTGCCCCCCAAGAAACCCAAGAAAGTTCGTGCGTCATAGTCCTGTACTGCAGCAGTTAATGACAGTGCTCTTTGGCTCCTTGGCTCCCAGGTTCGCAGGCAGGAATTTTCCTGGGGTCGAATCATTTTAAGTCTAGTCGTTCGCACAGGAATGTACAGGGGGCCTGTGTCGCAAGGCAGGGTTAACCTTGTCTGGGGCAGCAGGTGCCTGCAACAGAGCCTGTTGCAAGCCCCTGCTCAATACACTGCAGATTGGTGCCAATCCGGGGCGTATTGGCAGGACAAAACGGCCTTGCAATTCACTTCCCCTGCAGTTGTTTAATTGCAGGACAATGGTAGGATGCAATACACCATGGATTGGTGCCAATCCCTGGTGTATTGACGTTCCATTTGTCCCTTGCAATAGCCTTCCTCTTTCATTTCAATACAGGCAGGATTCGCGCCAATCGCCGCGGCGCTACATCCAAGGGTGTTTTGGATGCATCCAAGGGTCCCGGCAGCTCTTGTTCCATGCATCCAAGGGTGTTTTGAGTGCATCCAAGGGTCACGTTAGCAGTGCCTTAATGATGAAAGAAGCACCTGTCACCCTTCAATGCACACGAATGACCCTTCAACGCACGCAAATGACCCTTCAATGCACATGTCACTTGTCACTGCATTGTCTGAGGCTGTTGTCGTCGACAAGCTGGACGTCGAGGGGCAGGCCCAAAGTCGTTTCATTTCAGTCATGGTTGGCTGTGTGGCTGAGTTGTCAGAACATGACAGTTGCATGCGACAGTGTGTTGTGTCAGTCTTGCCATGTCACTATCAGCATCTGATACGAGGCTTCTGCGGCAACAGGCTCCAAGGCTCCCTGGCTCACATAGGCTACTAGGTCCCAATGCCGCCTGCGAAAATGGCCGCAGCCGATCCTAAAGCAGCCGCCGCAGATATGGCACCCACCATCATCGCCGAGCCGGAGGAGAACCCAGTGATAGAGACTCAGTCTCAGAGATCTTGGTCGCGTCTCGGCTACTGTGCGCTGAGGGCAAGTGACTACGAGAAGAGTGTGGAGGCGGCTTCCGAGTTTGAGAAGGATTCCTATTACGAGTCACCGGAGATCGGCTTCCGTGCCTTGTTTCTGGCGACGAAACTGGACGCCATCACATGGCAGCGCAAGGAAGCCATGCGCAAGTTGGGGGCGGCCCCGTCTGCTGCAGACAAGCCTGTGAAGGCGAAGCTGCGCTCATCGCGCCGCCAGCTGACAGAAGCCATTGGGGAGACCCAGTTCGTGGTTCTCACACTGTTCACCAAGAAAAATCTGGCCGAAGCGTGCTCTGCAAGAGACATTGTGGTGGAGGATGGCGGCTACTATGTTCCGCTGTTCTCGGATCCTTGCCAGGAGCTGCCTTTCCACGACGAGGCGAACTGGAGCCTTGAATTCGAGTACATCGGACGCCAGGAAGTCTTTTCATTTATTGTTATTTAATTTTATATTAATTATAGGCTCAGGGGTTCAGAGGTTCAGGGGTTCAAGGGTTCAGGGGTTTAGGGGTTTATGGGTCCAGGGTATTGCGTCCGATCAAGGCACGTCATGGTGCAGGCCACGACCAGCCGCGCCTGGCAGACCCTTGCACCCGGGCCCGACCTTGGCGGGGGTTTGGGCTTCATGTGCTACACGGCGGTCAAGTCGGAGGAAGGCGGCGGCAGCGGCGGCTTCGACATTAGCAAGGAGGACACATCTGCCCTCGTGAACTTCTTGGCCCGGAACCACGTGTTCGCTGCGCAGGGGGATCCGTTCCTTCCGGATCCCGGTGCATCCCTGTTCCCGGTTTCTTCGTCCACGCACGCAGCGGCCACGTTGGGTTTTTTTTGCCCTCAAGCAGCTCGACGTGGACATGCTCGAGTTCAGCTGCGAGGGCGTCATCAACCAGTCACCGCCGGTTCTCCATCCGATGGGGTACTTCTGGATGCTCAAGGGCAATGACCTGGCAGAGCGGATCCGCACCGGCAACTTGAAGGTACGCAGGTCCGGGATCGAGATGGTCATCGTGAGCATGAGCAACCCCAGGAAGCACTCAGACATTCTCCTTGAGGCTCAGCGCTCCAAGCTGGTGGAGCACAAACGGCGCTTGAAGGAACAGGTGGACGTCTCCAACAAGCAGCTCCGCCGCGACCAGGATGCCCTCGCTGCCGTTGATGCCCAGCTGAGGCGTCTCCCAGGCTCCTAGGCTCCCAGGCTCCAAGGTCCATGTGGCGCCGGCTTGGTGTCGTCATGTTTAGATGACTCATCAGCAGCATAGTAGGATTTTGATGCTTCCTTACTTTGCTGCCAACTTGATTTAAATGGACATGTAAAGCTCAAGCCGCTCGTCGACAAACTGTGGCAGGGCCCACGACTACAAAGGACCGCTGTCGACGTCAGTTTGTGTTTGTTTGCAGCATGTCCTGCACTGCAGCAGTCTTATTGCCTTGCGCTGCACCGCAAGACTCCAAACGGTTCCGTGGAAGGCTACTCGGCTCCCAGGTTCCCAGGCTTCTGTACTCGCGCTCAATGGCAAAAGTGCCGGATTTGCCCACCGACCCAACCGTTCTGAGCTCAGCATTTTCGGAGCAGTATGACGTGTGTGATGATGATGTGTGGCACGCCATGTGAAGCAGCGCCAGTGCTCAAGAAGCCCTGGCAAACATCGTGCCATGGGCCCTTCGCTGAGTTCTTGATACCGTGTCCCGTCTCGCGGCTAACAGTGCTGCATGCCGTGCCTGCCCGAGGTCCGCAGCCAGCTCCCTCTGAAGTTTCCGCAGGCCAAGCAGATGTTCAAGACACCGCCGCTTGCCATCAACGCAGAAGCCAAGATGGGGGATTTGACCGGATACAAGGCGGGCGCATGTCGATCAATGTCATTTATTATTGTTTGACCGTTGTCGTTTGTCAGGCTGTGTGGAGCAAAGATGACTGCCAAGCGTCCCTGACATCATCTGGACTTTACGAAGCCAGTGGCCTCGCGCTGTGGCTGGCCACCGAAGCTTTTGCCAGTGCGTCTGAGGATGTGTGCTGGCAGGATCTCCAAACTTTCGAAGACGCTTTCTTCTCCAAGAAAGTTGCTTTCAGCACAGTTGTATCGCGTGAAGCTGCCAAGAAGAAACAAAAAACGTCACGAAACCGGCTGACGTGGCCTTGTGAGATGATTGTCCTCACGGAGTCAGCATCTGACGTGATTCACGAAGAGTTCAACAGCTCGTTGCATCTTGCTAGCGGCGTGTTTGTGTTGTGGGCTTGGTACTTGGCCGTCTTCAAAGCCCTAGTCTCCCAGGACAGTTGCTGCTTGTGTTCACATGACATGACATGTTATTGATTCATCTGACTGATGTGTGCTTGCACTTGGCAGGACAAAGCAGTTTTGGAGATTTTGTGGGAGTGTGGCTGCACTGTCACGATACAGGTTCGCTTGTGTTCCAGCGCAGGGGAGATTGCGAAGAGTCGCAATCTTGCTTCAGAGAAAGTCAAGGCACTCGGGCACCCTGGCCTGTCCGACACCTTTTGGACATTTGCAAAGACTGTCCAGCTGCTCAAGGTCGAAAAAGTCCAGGATGGTGAGGAACAGAACTTGAGGTACAACAACACCTTGTACAACAAGGCCTTACACCAGGCTGCCACAGCAGCTGTTGCAGTGCTGCGGGGTCCATCCGGTCCCGTGGAGAAGGCTGCCCGGAGATTGGAGCTGGAATTTGGGCGGGGCATCTTGAGCAGTCAGTACTCGAAGTTGAGCAAGCTGTTATCGCTGACCAACAAGCTCGCATCTGCTACCAGAAACGCTGTAGACCTGACGGCCTGGATGATCGACTCCTTGACGCTGGCCCTGCGCATGAACATGGTCACGCCAGCTAAATGCACCGAGAAGTTTCTGGATCGAGACCGGAAGACAGGCGATGCTGGCTTTTGGTTGTCGCGCATGCTGGTGGTGCAGGCATTGTAACTATTCTGACTAGCGTGTGTATTTTTTTTTGCGGAGTGTTGCAAGTCATCGGCAGCTTGAACACTGACAGAGGTCTTCGATTATGCAGCAAAGCTGGCGAACAAGTTGCCTGAGCCGGACAAGGTTAAGCTGACAGGGATTTTGGCTGAACTCCGTTGCCCTTCCACATGTTGGGAGAAATATCTCTGCCATGCTGATGCTGATCAAGGGGCTGCTGGAGAGGACGACATGGACGGCGAGGACCCAGAGGACGTGGAGCGCCCTGTTCCGCAGTCCAAGATTGGAGCTGTTAAAGAGGGTTTCAACAAAGCCATTGGCATGCTTTTGGATTTGCTGCTGGAGCTGATGTCGGGGAAGTACTACAAGGATTGCTGCATGCTGGCTTCGAGTGAAGATGGCCTTGCAAAGGCATTGACAGCTGCACAGCTTGGAAGCTCGGATGACACGGAGCACGAGGAGCCATGTGCGCTTATCACTCAGATGAAGATCATTGTCGACAAGTTCGACAACAGCACGAAGTCCGTTGGTGCCACATCTGCGGCTCCTGCTCCGAGTTTGCTCCAAAGCCTGGCCAAGGCTTCTGAAGCTGACACACCCGAGGAATGTGTCGAGCGTGAGCGGCAGTGGAAGGCGGTGCAAACGGAACGCCGCAAGTTCGTGTCGTTCTCGGTACCGAACAAGATCTCGAAGGACTGCCTAGTCAATGCGTTCAGAGGTTGCGGCAAGGTCTTCACGCACAAGGGCACCTTAAACTCTTCGCACCGCCTGATCGTTGCCAGTGCGGATCTCTTGGCAGAGGCTGGTACCGACCCGTGGCTCAAGGGCACTCCGCCAAGCGAGGAATGGAAAGAGATCTGTGCCTTTGCCAAAGACATTTCTGGGCCCGAGGATTTCGTTGTACTCTTCGACGGCAGAATGCGGGAAATTCGCCGCGTGTCCGAGTCTTGGCGGGGTGATGTGACAAGGCTCCCAGGCTCCAAGGCTCAAAGGCTGCACCTGGTTCTTTAAGGAAGACCTCCTGCTGAACCAGCAGCACACCGAGGAGTGCACCATCGTGTACTCAGGTGGGTGCCCGCCGAGAACTGGTCGCACTCGCCGCGTTCCGCTGGCTGCAAAGAAGGTGGAGACAGGAGCGGTTAAGTTCCCGGTCGCACGCACCAAGATTCAGACGACGAAGAAAGGCTCCTTCACAGTCTGCGGCGAGGCTTCTACGTACCAAGGCACTTACTCAGGCGTGGAGTACCGTGCGGTTTCTGAAATGCCCCTCGTGTCTGCAGACACCAAGAAGAAGATCATTGCTCCGGCAACAACCGGCGACCTCCCGACACCGCCAGAGGACTGGCAGGATCGCCACGGCTCCGACGTACCCTTGTTCTGGAACGAGTCGAAGCCGATAGCATATTGGAATGCCATCATTGAGGAGTTTTGCGCGGAGGCAGTGTTTGACCTCACGGCTGGCACCGGTGCTCTGATGGAGGCTTCTTTGACTGCCGGCATCGCATACCACGGGCTTTGCAGCACCCTTACTTGTCCAGTAGATTCGTCAGATCATTGTCATTTGATTTTATTTAAATTATCCGAGGCCTCAACAAGGAGCACATGTCGTGGGTCCAGGCGGTTGCTGATCGCGCAGCTTGCGGAATGATGGCTTTGGAGGGATCCACTCTTTACTCGGACGAGAATGCCAAGGCGGTGAAGAAGCATTTCCCGCACGTTCTGGAGAGCTTGTCCAACCAAGACGACCAGGACGAGGCACCTGCTGAGCCAGATAGCCCCCGCGATCAACCGCAGTGATGATGTTTCACTTCGACCGAATCCGCCAGCTCAGGCACCAGCTCAGGCACCTAGGCTCCCAGGTTCTCAGGCTCTTGACCTTTTGCCGGGCTCAGTTTTGTCAGTAGTGTGTAGCAGTGACTACTGTCGCCTGAAAAAGCCGAAATGCTCTTATTGTGGCATGACATTGAAATAGGACTCGCCGAGGATGTTGTTGTAGTCGCCTGAATGCATTAAAGCGAGCCGTTATGGCCCCAGGTTCCCAGGCTCTGAGGTTCCCTGCTTGGGTTCGACATGGGCTGCCGATGGAGGCCTACCAGACGCCTCTGGGGCAAAACCAGTCTCAAGACGGCTTCTCGTCGGATGCCCCGGGGGTGCCAGCATGGTGGCAGCAAATCGCAGAGCTTGCGGAAGCAGGCTGTGAAAGACGGCTTGGTCCCCAAGGCTCGAAGGGCCTTCGTCATCTGGTTCCAGGAAAACTCCGAAGTCAAGAAAGGCGCTCCCAAGCACGAGTTTCTCAATGAGATGAAGCATCTTGGCGCAGTCTGGCAGGGCATGACCGACAAGCAGAAGGCACCATTCATGGCGAGGAGCAAAGATGAGTTCATGGCTCAGCGAAGTGCACTGGCCGTTCTTGGCATCAGGATGCGGGGCTCCACGACCAGTGCGGGCGGCCCCGACGAGGCGAAGGACCCCCCTGCCGCTGACGAATCTGGCGGTCGCGTTGGCCCATTTGAGCTTAATGGTGCAAGGGCTCCAATTGGAGGCGGAGCCTATGGCAGTGTCTACAGTTGCCAGCATCCGCAAAGCGGCCTTAACGTGGCGGTGAAGGTTTATCGTGGCTCCGATGGCCCCGCGGATTGCAGGCACGCAGTGGAGCAGATGAAGCTTCTAATGAAGGCCGTTCCGCAGCAGAAGATGATGTGGTTCCCGCTTCTTGTCAGCTCGGGTGTCACGGGCAGACCTTGGCCATGGATGGCTACTAGCCTATGTGGGCCCAGCCTGGCAACCGCACTTCGAAATCCTGCTGCGCATGGCAAGCCGAGGACGTGGTCTGTGGCAGCTCAGCTGAGAAGTGCACTGCAGACCTTGCATGACGCAGGCATCCTACACTTGGATGTGAAACCTGGCAATGTTCTTTTGTGCCCTTGCACAGATCAGGTGCAGGTGTGCGACTTCGGCATGAGTGAGAACATGGCACGGCTCCAGAAGGCTTCTCAGGCTCCCAGGTTCCTGCAGTATGTCACGGCTGCCTATCGACCTCCGGAGCTGTGGCCCGCTCGTGTGAATGGCGATGGCGACTGCGGTGTCAGAAAGCAGCTGCTGACTGCAGCTGTGGATATGTGGGCCTATGCTTGCGTGGTGTTTGAGGTGGAGACCGGGAATCCCTTCATGCCCAAGGGGGAGGCCGGACTGAGAGCGTGGTGCAAGCAGTGGCCCGAGCTGTGGAAAACACGCAGCGACTTAGCCAATTGCCCCGCTGCAAGTCACACGTGCTGCACAAAGGTGCTTCGAGCCGGTAAATGGGGGCTGTTTGTGTTGGTCGGCTGTGCTCCAGACCCCGGAAAGCGGCGGTGGCCGGAGCTCTGTCTGAATCAGAAATGACTCGACTGAGCCTCCATTTTTATTTGATGATGGCTCGTATGGTTTAACGTGTGTTTAGAGTCGGGTAAAGGGTTTCAGGGTTAGTTAGTAGGGTGTGACTTTCATAGCCTTCGTGTGTTCAGTTAGCAGCATATCCGAGCATGGGGGCAAGATTGCATGCAATGTGAGATGCAGTGAGTTTCCTCGTTGTAACCGATTCCGCACAGTGCCGTGCGTTGCATCTTGCCGAAGTGGTGAAGTGCGTCGTGACAAGCTGTTTGCAGGGCGTGTCGCGGCTACCAGGTTCCCAGGCTCCAAGGTCTGGCGCAAGACTGGCTGGGATCCCTAATTCAATTATTTTAATTCTCAGCGCGGGGGTTGTCCGAAAAAGCAGAGGCCAGTGTCGTGAGTCATGTGAACGCACCCAAATTCCACATGTAACCTGGTTCACATGTCGTTCTTTGCAGGCAGGGAGATGGGCAAGCGTGGTCCACGGCCGCAGCGCCAAGGAAGCTGTCAGGACCCGTGCTGCGTTGGACAGTCAAGTTTAATTAATTTGACAGCGGATCTTGGCTGTCGCCAGGATGATTCGATGCTGCGAGGGACCGCATCGACATCGACCCATCGTCGTCAAGGCCACAAGGTTTAGTTTCAAAGCACCCTGCCCTCATGTACGTTTGTGTTCTACTGCTTCTGGCCTTGAATCTGCCTCGCTGCAGACAGCTCGGTACGACCAGGCATGCTGAGTGAAGAACCTGACTAGAATGAGACCCTCGTTCAGCGAAAGAGAGTCAAGATGCAGGCTCCAAGGCTCCAAGGCTGTGAAATGAAAAGGGGGACCCTGCCTCTGGCTCCCGGCCAAGCCTAACTGTGGTCGAAATGTTTTTTCTTCAACGGGGGACCCTCCGTGGCCTCTGGCTCCGGGCCAAGCCTAACTGTGGTCAAAATGAAAGGGGGACCCTCCTTGGCCTCTGCCAAGCCTAACTGTGGTCAAAATGAAAGGGGGACCCTCCTTGGCCTCTGGCTCCGGGCCAAGCCTAACTGTGGTCAAAATGAAAGGGGGGACCCTCCTTGGCCTCTGGCTCCGGGCCAAGCCTAACTGTGGTCAAAATGAAGGGGGCCAAGCAAGGCTCCAAGGCTCGCAAGGCAAGGCTCCAAGCTGGCTTTGCGCCAAAAGGCTCCAAGGCTCCAGAAAGTGGGACCCTGCTTGCCTTTGGCTCTAAAGCAAGGCTCCCAGGCTGCAAGGCTCCAAGAAATGAAAAAGGGGACCCTCCTTGGCCTCTGGCTCCGGGCCAAGCCTAACTGTGGTCAACATGACGAAAGGGTGCCAAGCACGGCTCCAAGGCTCGCAAGGCAAGGCTCCAAGCTGGCTTTGCGCCAAAAAGCTCCAAGGCTCCAGAAAGTGGGCCCCTGCTTGCCTTTGGCTACCGGTCCAAATGTAAAGCAAGGCTCCCAGGCTCCAAGGCTCCAAGAAATGAAAAGGGGGACCCTCCTTGGCCTCTGGCTCCGGGCCAAGCCAAAATGAAGGGGGCCAAGCAAGGCTCCAAGGCTCGCAAGGCAAGGCTCCAAGCTGGCTTTGCGCCAAAAGGCTCCAAGGCTCCAGAAAGTGGGACCCTGCTTGCCTTTGGCTCCCGGTCCAAATGTAGAAATGAAAAGGGGGACCCTCCTTGGCCTCTGGCTCCGGGCCAAGCCTAACTGTGGTCGAAATGTAAGGCAATGCTCCAAGGCTCCAAGGCTACCGAAATGAAAAGGGGGGCCCTTCTTGGCGTTTGCGGAGCCCCAAGCCGCCTAGCTGTGGTCGAAATGTAAAGCAAGGCTCCAAGCTCCCTACCTGAAGATGGTGACCCTCCTTGACCTCTGGCTCCGGGCCAAGCCTGACTGTGGTCGAAATGTGAAGCAATGCTCCCAAGCTCCAAGGCTCCAACCTCCTTGGCCTCTGGCTCCGGGCCAAGCCTAACTGTGGTTGAAATGCAAGGGTTCCGGGCTCCAGGGCTCCACGGCTGCCGGAATGAACAGGGAATGTTGCCTGGTTTGCGATGCAAGCTCTTCGTTGACAGGCTCCAAGGCTCCAAGGCTCTTCGGTACGAGCAGCCAGGCCCCCAGGTTCCGAGGCAATATGCCAATGCGTAGTCCATCCTTAAAGGCCTTCAGCCTAAAGCCCAAAGCACTAAGGAGCGGGGCGAGAACCATCCTCGACGCCTGACAACGGCGCAGCTGGACGGCCAAGCCAAGACCAGGACCGAGTAGGGTTTAAGGTTTACGACTACTACTACTACTACTACTACTACTACTACTACTACTACTACTACTACTACTACTACTACTACTACTACTACTACTACTACTACTACTACTACTACTACTACTACTGACTACTAACTGTTACTAATTTATATTTTATTATTATTGTTATTATTATTATTATTATTATTATTATTATTATTATTATTATTATTATTATTATTATTTTTATTATTATTATTATTATAAATTATTATTATTAAAATTATTATTATTATTTATTATTATTATTGTTATTATTATTAGTATTATTAATATTATTATTATTATTTAATACTACTACTACTACTACTACTACTACTACTACTACTACTACTACTACTACTACTACTACTACTACTACTACTACTGCTATTGCTACTGCTACTGCTACTGCTACTGCTACTGCTACTGCTACTACTTTACTACTACTAATACTACTACTATACTACTACTACTACTACTACTACTACTACTACTACTACTACTACTACTACTACTACTACTACTACTACTACTACTACTACTACTACTACTACTACTACTACAATACTACTACTACTACTACTACTACTACTACTACTACTACTACTACTACTACTACTACTACTACTACTACTACTACTACTACTATACGACTACTACTACTACTACTACTACTACTACTACTACTACTACTACTACTACTACTACTACTACTACTACTACTACTACCACTACTACTGCTAATACGCACTACTACTACTACTACTACTACTACTACTACTACTACTACTACTACTACTACTACTACTACTACTACTACTACTACTACTAGTACTACTACGACTACTACTACTACTACTACGACTACTACTACTACTACTACTACTACTACTACTACTACTACTACTTTAATTTAAATATTAATACTAACTACTACTACTACTACTACTACTACTACTACTACTACTACTACTACTACTACTACTACTACTACTACTACTACCACTTACTATTACTATCACTACTTGCGACGGACTGCGCTCCTTTGTCAGTTCTAAGGTGTCACTATAATAAGAGCTGTGTAGCAAGTACCGTGTAAAGTTCCAGAGAAAGGGGGCCCGGCTACGCTCCCTCGACGCGAAGGGGGCCCACAAAACAAACCTAGCGGTCCTCATTCTTTTCCTTTCTATGTGACCCGCCCACTCAACGTTTGTGCTCAAGTCATGCCCATAGCCTGTGCTATATGTGTTTTCTAATCCGGAGCAATCAGAGCTATCCGTTGTCACAATACGAAACCGCCGGCCGGCAGTGAGTTCAAAAGGAACGGCCCCGCCGGTTTTCGCCTGCTAGGTTGCACGGTGGAGTGAAGAGAGACAGGGTCCAGTCTGTGGAGAGTGCTAGCCAGCCACACCTACATTCATTACAGCTCTGGTGGGGAGAGCAGCAACCAAGTCGAGATCAATCCCCCACGCAGGTTATCAGCCGTACGCGGCTCTGCCTTTCTACCGCAACGACTACTTGATCTACTACGACCACAATGAACTCAGGATCAAGCCAAGATACGACAATGACTTTCGGTGCCGATGTGGCAGCGCCAGCCGTTGGTGAATCAACAGCTGACGACACAGTGGTGCAATCCGTTGATAGCTCCACGGAAGATGACAAAGGTCAATCTTCTGCGCTTGCCATTGCAAAGGCAGTTCCCAAGGTGAAAGCAAAGAGTCTAACAAGAGCATCTACGCCTTCGCGTCCGACATCCACAGGTTCGAGGACGGGCAAGGCTCCCGAACGACGAGCCGAAGCGTCTGGTTTTCAGGCACCTCGGACTACGTCCAGGGGCAAGGACAAAGGAGTGAAGACCTTGGAAAAGAAGTCAAGACCATCATCTTCGAGAAGCTCTTCAGCACGATCGAGGACTTCGGCTACGCGTGGGCGTGACAAATCCATGACTTGGAATCGGATGGTTACCAATCAACCACGTGATGCTGACGATCTGGATATGACTCTGGACACTATCCCAGCACGCGGCGATGCGTCATCTGTGACCACGCCAGCCATAGCTGATGGTCCGAATGCCTATCAGGAACTGACGATTTCGCAACAGCTCGAGGCATCTAACCTTGCGCAGCAGATGTACTATCGCAGTCAGATGCAAGAATACGAAGGAGTTGTCCAGACCCTGATGGACAAGATCAAGGAGATGCAACAAGAAGATGAAGGATCTGGAATTCGCATTGAAGAATTGGAACGACAACGTGACCATGCAGGCTTAGCCATGAGGCACATCAACAATGTCAATCAGGAGATGAAGCGAGACTATGAAACAGCTTTGTTTCGCATGGATGAACAGAACTCTGCTCAACAACGTCAAGCACATGCCGTTGCCGAGGAATTAGCTCAACAGCTACACGTGTTCCGCACGGAGGCAGCCACTAACTTTGTGCAGTTGGAGGCAAGAGCGCAAGGCGATGGTGAACTTATGGCACGTGAGTATGAGCGTCTAACTCATGAACTTCATGAACATGCCAGAGAGAACTTGGTCCTCCGGTCAAACACAGCAAGTTCGGAACAAGCCTTACAAGCAATGCAGGAACGATTCCACTTGGTCAAGAACCAGGAGTTGCGGGCCGTGAACGAGATCCAAGGGCTAGCTGGAAACAGCGCAGCCATTGATCAAGAACGATTTCGGCTTCGGGAACGTCTTGGTGAAGAGGAAGAGTACCGCAAAATGGCTGTGAAGAGGATGCAAGAAGCAG